ATATATATATATATATAGATTCAGGGAGAAGCCTGTGGTTCTTGAACATCTAGTATTGCATCACCAAAAACACCACAATGCAGTCCAAAATAATGGCAAGTTTTGCTGCATGCCATTTAAGGAAACTTTCAAATTCCTTGTGGTTTTAATAAAACCTTGATCAGCATTTTGAGCTTCAGAGGATTTGAATCCTAAAACAGTACCTAACATTAATAGTATATGTAAAAAGAGTCAGATTGACATGTTCATTCATAGGAACTGGTGGGCTGTATTTTATTGACTCTTAAATATCATTTTCACATGGGATTTAAGCTATTAAATAATAAACCTTGGCCTGGGAATGACTTCCCACATTAAGTCGAGTAGTTGTAGATCATATTGCTGACTATAGCAGTACTGAATAAAACTCACTCAAAACCAAAGGCCTTCAAACCCACTGAAAGCTAGCAGAAGAACTATAATTGTTTAATGGGCTTTGCATCAGAGCCGAAGACTTTAATATGGCACATCTTCTAGAATGAGGTTAACTTCATCAAAGATGGTTGTCCTCTGTGCATTAGTTGTATTTGTAATGATAGCACAAGAAATTTTGTTCATCCCTTGAATGAAGGAAAGAGCAAAGGGAAGGGGAAGTGCAATGTCAATTGGTACTGGAACAACATTTTTATGAATTCCTGGTGCAAGTTGCAGTTGGAGTGTTTTGGAGGATGTGTCTCAGTCTGGTGGTTTAGCTTCCAAGTGTGGTTCTGTAATGTAAATGTTACATATCAGATTTCTGCATTACATTTCATCTTTTCTCTTGCAACTAATGCCATAAATTATGGTTGAAAAGAAGAAGTCTCAGTGTTCTTACAGAATGCTGTAAGTCTGCCACCTGACAGTTTTGCCAATAAAAGTTTCCTGTGAGGGTCAGGAAAACACCTTAAAGCCAAAGTAGTCCAGGGCAAGTGTATTTTTCATACTTTGAATAGAGAATAACAAGTGCAAGATGTATTCAAGTAATAAAGCAGCTGGTGACTTGTTGAGAGACAACTTATTAAGCAGTATTCAAATGTTATAATATATAGATTAGCCAAATACAGATATTGAGGGTAGGGAGGGAGAGACTGGGAACTTTGCACTTTATCTTGTATTGATAAATCCTAATGTAAATAAAATGGAAACTCTTGATATTATTAAAGAAAGCATTTTGATAAAGATGTTGTTCTAAGGGAAAGTGTTGTACACAGCACACTACTGTCACTTCACCCTGTGCATTAAGATAAGGGATAGGTAGCTGCTCATAAAAGAAGCATTTCAGTGCTGTCTGAGTTATTTAAAGGGCCCTGCTATAAAAACATAATATATCAATGTTGTTCCTTCATTTGTGTTACCTACCATGCTCTGTTAGGCATCTACATGCGTGATTGATTTTTTTTCCCTTTGAATATGTAATGATGCAGGGTAATTCTTGCTTTTATAGAATTTATCCATTTTCATTTATTAATTACTTAATAAGGTGTTAAAATTTTAAAGGTCTGTTAAGGGAAAGGGGCTTATGCCTTAAACTCACAATTTTCAATTAAAAAAGATTTATGAAATGTTTAGCAATAGGTTTTTCTGCAGTTGATTTTTTTGTACATTTTTCAAGCAGAGGCTTATATAGAGATTGCCATTTATTACATTGCCTTCATCCTCTCTGTCTTGTCCTGCTGCATATTAAAAAAAAATATGAACACACATTGATGAATGTGTTTTATTCCCCTTTGACTTATAACAGGCTTACCATAAAAAAGCAACTTCCTTTCCTCTTCATTCATTCTTGTGGATCTTCATGGCTTGTCCTGATCCTTATGGCAAATGTTTTGGGTGAACCTTTATTTTAATTGTAAACTATAATAGTGTACTCCTAAAGCGATCTGGTAACTTATAGCGCAACTGTAGAGTTCTTTTCTCTGAGATGTATAGCTTGCATCCTTTCTTCCACTGTGTATAATAGTTAAATCTTTTACTGTTGAGAAAAATTATAAATGCCTGAATTTCTAATAAATGATCAATTCAGCAATCAGTTGTATTACTTTCTATTGATCTTTAATAATGTACAAGGCAAAGCTGAGTAAGAAATCTAGAGCTACACAAATGATATATGCTCTTATCATGATTGATATGAACTTCAATTAATCACACCTGCATCATCCATGTGACAGATTAAGCAGAACAAATTCCAAACCCTGCTTATTTAAAATTGCACTTCAGTAATTAGCATAGCTTTGATAGTTTGAATGAACTCTTAAATTACTGCATCATTGTTTTGTTAAATGGGTAGAAAGGAACCTAGTAGTCTGATGATATAAAGGGAGGCAATGATAGCCCGCCTCATTGACAGACTAGATGTATACAGCTTATTATGTGGCAGTGTTACTGAGTTGATCCTCTTCACTTTCACTGTATGAAGTAGTAGTGCAAGTCTTGTTGTACCTGATGCTAATAGTAGCATTCCAGTGCAGTGATGTGACTGGAACTTTCAACTATGATAGAGGAGATCAAAATTATATTGCAGCCAGCTATAGAGCTCTGTATGAATATATATTACTTAATAGCACAAACATATTTCACCTTTTGTATAGAGTACAAAACTATATACAATATATTTGCTGAATCTGCTTCTACTATATCTGCAACATCTGATGACAACTTTGATATCTGGGTTTGATTTAGTTTAGGTAAATAATTATTACTTAAAGTAGTTACAGTTATTTCCAATGACTGACAACATAACAAAGATGAATATCAAATCTTCAATGAAGTTCACTGGGTGATTGTGAAGTATTCATTCCTTTGGACTAGCCAACTGCTTGGGTTAAAGTGAGAGGAGGAGCAGGATTGAAAATGCCTTCAATTGCTTCTAAGATAAGATTCAAACCTAATGACCATGTTTAGACGATACAACTGACTGAATTATCTTTCCCAGACAATTTATTTACTCCTGTGCACCAGCTATATCTGATCAATTTTCTGAATCTCTCCAGCTGTTGCAAATGAGACTGGGAACCTATCACATCCTTTCCCTTTTTTTGAGGGAGAGAAGTTGGGGATCAGACAGAATCACAATGAACAGTGAAGAGGGCTTCTGTCATTCAATCTTTCTGGTTCCTAAGCCTTTGATCTATGCTGTAAAATTGTTCTATATAGAGTATTATGCATGCATGGTCACATACACCTGCACAAAAACCTCAAAAAAGAAAGAGAAGTCACTTGATGAGATAACTCAATAGCTTTTATCTAGTACCATCGACCTAAGTATTTATACCATAGCAGAAGACACAAAGATGCTTGAAGGAGGGAAGAAGAGACCAGTCTGATCTGATGAGAAAGACTGTGTTAAAGCATGTACATAGCATGCAAAATTAGTGTTTGGTTCTCCAAATAACTGAACAAAACACCAAGGAACTTAGGGGATAGAAAACCAGATTAACCCAATGGAGCCGACTCGGTAATAAAAAAAATCCTATATTCTGTCACACAGATGATGTTACAGTGTTAAAAGGCTCTTATTCAAAGATAGGCACTGGAAATACCCAATGACTGATACAAATTTAGTTGCTAAATTTATGCATAGACAGGTCCTACCACTTGATTGATTGGTTGATTGATTGGTTGATTGATTGATTGATTGATTATGTGCCATCAAGTCATTGTTGACTCTTAGCAACCACACAGATTTTCTCCATGATGATCTGTCCCTAACTTGGTCCTTCAGCTCTTCCAGTGGCACCCCCATCGCCACTGTAACTGAGTCCATCCACCTTGCTGCTGGTTGTCCTTTTCTCTTTCCCAGCATTGCAGCTTTCTCCAAAGAGCTAGGTCTTCACATAATGTGTCTGAAATGGGATAATTTGACCCTGTTCATTTGTGCCTCAAGTGAGAACTCTGGGTTGATGTGTTAAATGACCCATTTGTTTATTTCTTGTCTGTCCGTGGTATTCTTGGGAGTCTTCTGCAACACCAAAGTGTCAATACTCTTCCTATCTTGCTTCTTCAAAGTACAACTTTTGCTTCCATAGAGTGTCACATGGCTTGCTCAATTCTGATCTTTGTAAGTATAGACACATCACGGCATTTGAACATCTTTGTTTGTTTTTCATCTCCTGAGTAATATACAGTGTGGTCTTGAAATGAAATTGTCCAAATCCATCTCAATTTGCTGATGCCTAATATGTCAATTTATAGTCATTTCATTTAATCTTTCACTGAGCTTTCCTGTGTTCCTGTTTCTTATGTTCCACGTTCCTACTGTAATTCTGTCTTTGCAGCTTCAAATTTTCTTTTCCTGTATGGCAACATTAGCAACTAGACATTCTGAAGGCTCTAATCTAGCCACATTAGTACTCTAGCTCTAATCTAGCCATTAGTACTCTGAAAGATCCTCAGCTCTTCCTCAGTAGCATGTTCAGTGCCACTTAACCTGAAGGGCCCATCTTCCAACACTCATTAGCCATTTTATATTTTCTATCCATGTGGTTTTCTTAGTAAAAATAAAGGAGTGGTCTACCATTACCTTCTCTCGCACACTATACATTGACGCTTTCACCATTGACACTAAAGTGATCGTCTGTCTCCAGGATCTTCCTATATTGCTGCGGCCCAATATAGGTGCCTGCTTGCTTTAGCTGGGCAGTGGGATGACCTTCACACCTTTGGGTGACCCTGC